GCGATGATCCATTTCAGATTTGCTCTGATTGGCAGTGACTGCCATCTTGAGAAAAATTGAGCGGTACATCAAAAAATTGATTCGAAAAGAAGATCACATCAACATCATCTCGTTTGAGTTGTAACACCTCGTGATTTCTCATCCTAATAAATAATTATTTCTCAACGGGTGGTATTCGTTCTCGGTTCGTAAAGAATTTGCTGGTAATCTTAGAGTTGTTTATCGAAATGTCTATACAAAAATCAAATAGCGATGTATGATTATGTTACACATCTTATAATTAAGACAGACGATCACCGAGTCTCTCGTAGTAAAGCGCGACTTGATTAGAAAGTGGTACAGATTCTTATTTAGTAATATAAATCGAATAAACAAGTACAGCTGTTTATTCCAAGTTGACTCTCATCAAAGTGTTCGGGTGTAGTTCTTTGAAAACGTACCAATTAGATGAATCTTTCGTCTCTATTTGTGTTATTCAAAAATGTATCTTCTAGGAAAAGTTAATATGCAATTGTTTCTCGTTCCGCGGCTACTGCGAAGATAATTTGTATGTAAAACAGCCGGAGGAGATATACAAATCAATATCCATTGGACATTCAATCATCGTTTGTTGACTCGTCATGTACCGAAATGGATGCGAGTTTGTTAATTACATCATCATTCACGAATGTTTTTCTGAATAAACAAACTGTTCCAATCTTTTTCGGGTTGTTCGAACCATATAAAAGTACACTTGAAGCTTGCAGTTCGGATATGACTTTTCGTTTGATAAGAACAAACAGATGTTTTCTTTTCCAGATTTTTTTTTCGTCATAAATTTACTCTTTATAAATCATCTTTGTTTACGAGTACTTTGAAAATGATCTTTGCCTTTCGCAACATGTTTCATTCTTCCACAGCAATTGATTCTTCTGAGTAAATACTTCGTTTCCGGGTGTGATGAATTCCCTACGGAGTATTTACATTGAAAAGTAAATTTCATCTTGCAAATCAACATTTTCTCTATTTGAATTTCTTATTATTCGTGATGTTTCTAGTCTAACAAGTTGATTTTCATTCTCGAGCAATCTTCATTTCAAGTGCATATACAGCAAAGCAAGACCCTGTTAATAATTGATTATGGCAGTAAGCATGAGAACGTTTATTTACTGATGTCGCGGAGGGAGAGAGAGAGAGATATTTGAATTTTTTTAGCATCCAAATAAGAACAAAGGAAAAGAAAAAAAGTTGATGTCAATGGTTTTTTTTTACATTTCATAATAAGTGCGGTAAGTAGAACATGTTTGATTCAATGTTTCAAAGTACTTCTCATAAGTTTAGCGAGCAGATCAAATTACGCTTTTAATACAAGTCGCTTTCGATATTGAATCGGAAATAGAAATTTGAGAGTTGACTTGATTTAAGCGTCAAAGTATAATGATAAATTCACCCTTTTTTCGTCCATGATAACGAAAATAATCGATTTGTTTTCTTCGTATATATTTCTTACTACTTTTTCTGATTAATTAATCAATGCATAAGTTTGTTTTTTCTCTCGAACGACAAGCGAGAGGAAATGTCTTTTTCTTTTTCTCTCTAAGACTTGTTAAATTTGATTAACAAATTTCGCCTTGACTTTCTCTATGAAGACACACGAGTCTAACAGACTCGATATTTTATAGGATGAGAGATGTATAGTTGAGAGAAAAATGCGAGTTAGTTACATCTGTACGTTGTGTGTCATTTTTCTCGGTGTTCCTTCGGTCATTATCGTTATTTTTATGTGAAACTCGTCAAAACGAACAGAACAAACGCCGACGTCAATGACTTGTTTTCATTAACGAATCAATATTGAAATACGTGATGTAATTCTAATAGAAGTCACTTTAAAAATACATGTGTAATTGGTCAAACAAACGAAGATTTAGTGACATGTCAGGTTTATCAAGGCGAAAATCTTTATCTCAACATACGAGATTGTCTACGTCAAAGCAAGCAGTTCCGTAGAAGAATGACATGGAGTGGAGGCGGCGAAACAGGATAATATTTAACCGAGTTAAATGTCTAAGCAATTCGAAAAAAAAATGTGTCATTATGAAAATAATCGAAAGGATTCCTCTAAGTATGCAAGAAATCTTGTCAGGATTGTCAATTAAGATGAAAATACATATAACCTTGAAGATTTTATCAGACGTGGAGATATTCGATGAAATGATATTTAAGAATCTGATATCCATGAAATGTTCTTTTTTCGTTTTCTTTTTCTTTTGGAGTTTCTTTTATTTGTCTGATAATGTGTATCGCCTAAGTGATTTCGTTCTGCGACAGCACAATGAATACAGTACAGGTAGGCTTTTTTTTTCTTCTTTTCTTTCATGGCGTTGTTTTTTAACATTTTAATGACAAATCGATAATGATTTACGAACACCAATGATAACGAATTGATTGTTATTGACTGTCTCTTCGGATAGATTATTCCACCCGACAGCCATTTGACACATAATCCTACACACGTACAGTACCCATCTGGATCGATTCCCTTGTTTTCCTCTATATATTTTTTTCTATTCCCCACCTACGAAATCAAATGCTACCTATCCGAATGCTATCGAAAGCAATTTATACTTGATAAATTTACATAATTGGATATTAACAAACCATTTATTTGTTTCGAGATGTTCGATTTCTAAATGTGATTGATTGATACCAATGGCTACAACAATCACGTATAATGCGCCGACCGATGACGATACAAGACCAATAATTCAGACGCAAGCTGAACATCATTATCTGTTAGGTCCGCCTGCAAAAATCTTCAAACCACTCCCGCCAACTATCATTCAATCGATTGAGACTGAACGACAACAACGCCATAATCAAGTATCGCGTTCAACAGTAGATATTTTCCTCAACAAGGAATCGTCAGTCGACACCACCGATGACGATCTCGACGAAACAAATCGTACACTCGTCAAAACGCCTCGTCTTCCTCGCCATCAAAGACGTCTAAAACTAGCAGCGCGTGCCAGACGTTCGCCATCGGACATCCGTGTCACGCTCTATCCCGATGAAAACGCCAGTGTCCACGAAGGTCTTACTCTTAGTCAATCGGAAGTATCGAGTCCACCAGAACGTGAAAATGAACTCCGACAATCTGACCCATCACTCACCAATGGTAAATCAACGAAACCAAATGCAACCGATTATATACGCCGAACTCTTCTTGATCATCGTTTTAGTCGTCGAATTCATTCCTCATTTTCATCTTCGACAACCTTACGTTCATTAAGTCGCCGTCGTTCCACAGAAAAACTTTCGCCTCGTTCGTCAACGAACCCTCCACGTAATCGTCGACATCCACATCATTTACCACGTAATTCCAAATGGCACATTGTTCGTCATCGTTTACACGATATCGCAATGATGAGCGATTCCTACGCACGAATGAAAGTGCTCGAGCAAGATTTACGTTGGGTGAACTTACGTGAAAAGATTCGCGCACAAGTGTTCGACATACGCGAGATGAATCTTCTACGCCAACAAGATGATGGTTTAGTCGCGAAAAAGAAAACTCAGAAGACACGATTCGATTTGAAAAACATTCCTGTAAGCGAAGTCGTTCATGTTGAACGCGACGGACGAGTTTTTTCGATGAGTACTCGTGATCTTGTTCTTGGGCGTTTACTTGACGCTGAAGACATACAATTAGATACATTTGCTCAATTGGACGCTCGCCGACAATTTCAAGTACAACAACATTTATTAAAACAACAAGAGGGACGGACTCGATTGAAAAAACATATCGCTTTCTCATTTTGTTTGTGCAATTTATCATTTATTGTTCTTATGTTTGCTGCAATGTTCATTTTTGCTATGAAAACAATACTCGAATTGAGATCAAGACAGTTCCGTTGATAGGCTTTGTCATTCCTGTCGTTATCAGTCTCTCCGTTTGAATTTGACCAAGCGGCATAGTTTTTTTCTTCTTTCGCCTTTTTTTTCTACTCATTCATAGATATTTTTAACAATTATCAGGTACTTCCATGTGTAAATGAATCAGTTCGTTTTATTTCTGTGTATTCCAAATAATTAAATACCTGTTTTTATCACATTTATATACATATGTACAGTAAAAAACCGAACAAGGTCATAAATTGTTGAAATATCTGCACAACTCGTGTTTTTATTATACATCGACGAAAGAAAAGAATGTTACGAGAGGAATTAATCGATGATACTGAATAAAATAATGGAAATTAGTAAATATCGACTCGAACTGACAAGTATTCGATGTAACTTTGATGTTTTAATCGATAGTACATAAATGATATTTGTTCGTTTGGAAGATTTATTCAATTCTTCAATCTATTCAAATAGAAAAACCGAACTCAAGATTCGAACTTCTGTTTTCAATTATCCATGTCATCAATTCTTTTGTTTTCTTCTCTATTTGTCCTTCTTAATCTAACGTTATCAAAGAACCTACTCAATGCATAGCACATGCTCTTTTCTTTTTTTTTATTTATCGGTCTACTAACATCGCCAGGTCTCTAAATCGCACAACAACAACAAGAACAAGCTTTTTCCTCTTCTTCTCTTCTCTCCTTTCCTCTCCCTCTTTCTTCATCTTACTATTGTACCAATTCCACACTATGCCATTTTTGCTTGTTTCTTTTTTTCTTGTTCTTTTCACCATCACCATCACCACACTATCAACATTAGTTTACATAGAATAAATCATTCGTTTCTCTGCCGATTTCTTCCTTTTTTGATTTTCATTCACGAATAATACGAATCACCTGCTAGTATTTCATTTTACTTTCTTTTTCAACAATCAGTCAGTACAAACGAACAGACCCAATATATCAATGAACTATCTCGTCTCCTCTACGTCATGCCGAGTCATAGAACAATGAAAAGAACGAAAATTTGATGTCAACAACAGTCTACTATCGTACCTTTACTTTTCTATTCTTCTTCCTACATTCGTGGTCGACTTTGCCAGCAAACATAAATAAAACATGGTAACTTCTATGAATATTCATTGAATGATGGTGGCTTTTTTCGGGTAATTTTAGCGTCTACGCGATTTGTTTCGTGGACCGTCAAGTACTGATCGAAAATCAACTCTATCGCTTGTTCCAAGCTTAGATGCAAATACGTTCGTGAATGCTGCTCAAGACAAAGATACCGATTCATTGCACAAATATTTGCTGACAGGTTTGTAGCGCATGATGAATAACATTATGTTTGTTATAAACATCCAAACTCGTTAAAGAGCAACGAGATCATATTTCAGGTTTCCCACCAGACCAACCAGATCCTTCCACAAAAGCAACAGCTTTACATGTTGCGGTTGAATCAGCTAATCTACGCGCTATTCAAATGTTACTTCAAGCCGGTGCACAAATCAATGTAACTGATATAAGTTCATCAACGCCACTTCATATTGCAGCTTATATGGGCTATGAAGAAGTGAGGTTAATTATTCGCTTGAGAAAGAACAGAAAAATAATATGATTATCGCTAGATGCATAGGTTGTACAGATACTTTTATCACACGGTGCTGATATGTTTAAACACGATAATACAGGTCGAAACGCATTTCATCTGGCTGTATCAACAGGAAATCTTCGATTAGTTCAACATTTTCTAACTACACAAGATCCCGAACAGACAATTCTGCACAAACCCGATGCGTAAGTTCGATCGGATTGAACTTGTCGACATCGAATGTTTTCTTTCAGTCAAAATTGGACACCGCTGATGTGCGCCTGTGCTAGCAATCAACCAGCAATATGCGCATTTCTGCTCTCTCATCATGCGGACCTCTGTGCAATCAATGATCGACATATGACAGCATTACACATTGCTGCTTTTCTCGGTTCATTGCCAGTTCTTCAAGAACTTCTCACATCATCTAATGATGACAACACATTGCAAGCACTTAATCAAGGTGATCATCGAAATCAAACTCCATTATTTTATGCTTGCATCGAAGGTCATCTCGATATTGCATTAGTACTAATTCGTGCTGGTGCAAATGCTTATCATTTAGATAATGAAGATCAAACATGTTTACATGCTATGCTATCATCAACAATCGTATTAAAACGACATATATGTTTATTTTATCGTTTTATACAATTTGTTGATTATCGTGAGCATCAGGATTATCTCGGACGAACTTTACTAGATTTGGCTTATTTGAATCAATTGAACACGATCATCTATCTGTTGAATATGTTGAATTACAAAACGAATGCTAATGTTGTTTTCATTAGTGAACAGACGGAAAATCGTCTGTGTTGTCATGATAATCAAGTCCTTTCTCTACGTCAGCTTTGCATTCTTCGTTTTAAGAATTCGGTAGTTTATCATCGAAACCAACGACAACCTACGCAACATGATTTACTCGAGAAAGGTTTGCAGGAAATCTTTCAGATAAGTTCAACGATCGATTTACCCAGTTTGCAAGAAACAAATTCAATCGAACTTCCCGTCGGTAAATCGCTAGACGACATCTCACTTCTCCAGCAGCAACAATCAACTAAATATCAGAAGAGTTCGAAAACAATCAAAAATCCTGAGAAAAAAATGAGGAAAACATCAACGATCTTTTCAACGACATCATCATCGACAAACAAATGGGCGTCACAAGTTGATTTGCAACATTCACATTCAACATGGTCAGTGCTAACACATAAATTCAAGGGTCAACGAACACTTCCACCATTAATCAATCCAAATCAAGCACTAACAGAACAATCAGCAGATCCATTGCAATCATTGCCTGCACATCAGATGAAAAGTTTAGCTTTGAAAATGTTAACATCACCAATGAAACTAGACGAACTACTGGATTTTCCTTCGTTGAATAGCAGTCATTTGCTGGATGATGATTTACGACTGTCGATGAAAACTTATAAATTATTAGATATAAACGCATCGAATTAAATTTATACGTTCCTTATGATTTCTGTTTGATTGTAAAGATATTCAATTATATTTTTATTTTTTTGCTTAATTTCGACACACAATAAAGCGTAAAATCAATGAATGAACTCGGCACGATACTTAATGAACTCTCACTCGGCCAAGATAATAAGTACTTGATGATCATTATAACATGTCGTTGTCAATCATCATTAATTCTTTCACATTTACAAACTTAATCATCACCTGCCATGTAGTTTACCTGAAAAACTTAGTTCTACACGCAAGTGTCAATGAAAGCATCGAGTCCTTTTATTGCGACATAACGTGTAAACAATCATCTTTACTTGTTGACTCTAGTAGTACACATTGAACTACTTGTTGCATACAAAATAAAGCGAGCATAGCTTGCCATTTTCAGTTCATCGTATGTTTCACATGGGCCTTGAGTAGCATAAAGTAGGAGTCATTTGTTGTGCAACAGGTATCATGATATGCACAAGGAAAGTGTGTGTGTCCTATGTGATATGATGAAAAAGAACTTTTCAAGGATTTATTGCTTCATTATTGTTTTACTAATGTATTATGTTAAACATGAAATGTATTGTGCAAAGTAATCAGGCGATGTTGCTAGTATAATGGAAACTCATCAAGATGCGTTTTATTAGATCCTATAGTCCACTTTATAAAAAATAAAGAAACATACATGATGGAACATATGAGCATGCGTAAATATCATGTTTCACGCAAGAAAAACGTCTTTCTCTTTCTTTTCTCATTCATTGTATATTTTAGAAACATTAGTGAAGTGAACTCAGTTCTTAGAATATTAAGGTGAGATCAACCTGATCTTCTTTCAGTACGTTTGAATTGCATACAAATGACACAAGTATTCCTCAATAACGATCTATTTTCCTATTTGAATATGTCTGCATCCGTGTCAGCAACGTGGCATAATGCTACAGGTATATTCGCTTCTTTATGTTTGATATGCGGAGCAATATCGAATGCTTTAGTTATCTATGTCTTTCTCAGGTAAAACACATATTAAACATTTTGTTTTCTAATATGAAATAATCTCTTGTGAATTTTTGTCTGAAAAGAAGTTCCAGCTTACGACAACCGAGAAATTTCCTCCTGATCAATCTTGCTGTGGCTGATCTGGGACTACTTCTGACAAATAATATTCTGCATGCCATCGCATCGTTTAATAAGCAATGGCCATTTGGAAAGATAGGTAAATGAGTACTTCTGATAGTGAATATACTATATTATCATTATGCATGTATCTTAAAGTTCTTTAATTCGAAAAGTTGAAATTGTTGCGGATAACGTTTTAGTGTGACTTATTATCTTTCTATACATAGGTTGTGACTTCTATGCATTCTCCGGTGGTCTTTGCGCTTTCACATCGATTGCGACAATGGCTGCAATTGCTCTCACTCGACTCGTCGCTGTCGTCCAACCATTCAGTTCATTGAAATTAACTACAACTGTGACATTAAGTATGTATTTTTAATTGGCGCTGAGCCCTATGATGTTCGTGTTTGATATTGATAGAATGTATTGCATGCTGCTGGCTGTATGGTCTGATCTTGATGATCGCACCGTTCTTTGGATGGAGTCGATTTGTGTTTGAAGGATTTGGCACGAGTTGTACATTTGATTATGTGTCGAAAGATGTGTGGAATCGAGTATTTATGTTGATATTGATAGTTGTTGGATTTTCGGTCCCATTAGCAATCATTATCGTATCATATGCATATATCGTGCTGCAACTATCGAAGCGTAATGAGCACATCCTGTGTCGAACTTACCGAAAGCAAAAGTTACGATTACAACTTAATATTCGCCCGACGATATATGATATGATGAACAATCATTCATTATTTGATGAAGTGTCTCGAAATTATTCAATGATCCCCTTGTCAACGAGTGACCATCAAATAGTTCGAGTGATTTCTTACACCGAAGCTCGTGTCATTCGTACTGCATTATTGATCTGTACTACTTATTGTATGGCTTGGACGCCTTACGCGATACTCACCGTTTTATCTCAAGTTGGGTTTGATCACTTGATAAATGCGCACATAACAACCATGTTTGGTTTGCTCACGAAAACAGCAGCCTGTGTGAATCCTTTCATATATGCACTCTCGTCCTCAGTATTTCGACGTCATCTCTTTCAGCAATCAGAATCTCCACGCTATCATGTGTCATTATCCGAAAATAGTTCGAATAGACGAAATCTACTCGTCAAAATTAATGAATAATTAACTAGTCAATTTCTGTCAAATTATTGAAATCCAACGTCATCAGAGTGAACCCAGGATTCTTTTTCCTCGACAATCCATATCGCGCAGATGTCGCCCATGAGCAGAAACATTCCACGACATATGTGAACTTTGAATAGGCATTTTCAAATAATTATCGCAAAAGTTTTCATTAAAAATAGAATTTTTCTACAACATAAATCAATAAAATTCATAATTAGTTCTATGTGACTGTGACTGGTCGAAATTTTTATATGTGATTTCACTGATTTTGTCTCATCAAAGACAGTGTTCTGTTTTTTTCTCTGATTTTCAAACATGCTTTCATAAAAATCTTCCATATCCGTTGTCAACTATGTCAGTGTCCATCGGTGCATTTCGTTGGCTTGATATTCTTGAAAAAGAATTCGACAAAGCGTTTGTTGATATTGATTTACTACTCGGAGATATCGATCAAGATCAATCGGAAATTACCGATGAAGGTCGTGCCAAAATGACTGTCCTCAGTTCATGTTTTGCTCAATTAGCTCACAAAGCTCAGACGATCTCCCAAGCAAATGCGAAATTAGAAGTATGTACGCGTCGAGGATCGTAATGAGTTTTTTAATTAAATTCCATTAGGCACAATTGATCGATGTTCGAACTGAAGTTGTGGAATTCAAAGCAGAACGACAAGCGCTCGAACAGCAAGTGAAAGATATCATGGCACAATTGCATGCCTCACAATTAGAATGTCAAGTTTTGAAAAACCAAGGAGAAATTGAAGGTGCCGATACGATTCTAAAGAAACTGGTTTGTGGTTTTTCTCTGGATAGAATTCATTCGACAATGATTGTCTTATTTAGGAAGAACAAATCGCGAAACAACGTGAGGAATTCAAACAGAATGCCATCCCGGAGATCAAAGTACAAGAAATTGAAAAAGAAAATGAAAAATTAAAAGCGCAAATCATTAACCTTCAATCCGAGATATATGGGTCACGTTTAGCTGCTAAATATCTCGATAAAGAATTAGCCGGAAGGTACAAATATTTTTAGATTGTGATAAGCTTTTGACTCTCATTTTATCTCGTTTCGTTCGTTTCACCCTACGCATGTGCACATATTTATAACTTCGTTCCAATAGAATTCCATGTTTTATTTATTCAATTAGAAGTAGAATGTCATGTTAATCTGTGATGAGTGAAATACTTCGAGTTTCTCAATTATATAGAAGAATTGTAGAATAAACTCTTTTGTTTTGTGTTTATTTCAAATAGGATTCAGCAAATTCAATTACTTGGCCGTGATTTGCGTGGAGCTGATCATGAAAACCTGTGGAATCAACTGGAAGCTGAAATTCATCTACATCGGCATAAAACTGTTATACGCGCGTGTCGCGGCCGAGAAAAAGTCAATAAAAACCTTACGAGCCCTCCCGGACATGTAATATTCTTCCATTGGCAAATTTCAATTGATTCATTTGTCTTTTTTTTTCGAAACAGGATTTTAATACTTTAAAAAAACGACAAGGTGTAGGAGAAGTTCGTACTGTTAAACTTTATAAAGATGCTAAAGAAGCACTAGGCATATCAATTACAGGTGGAAAAGAACATGGGTTACCTATTCTTATATCAGAAATTCATGAAGATGGTCCAGCATGGCGGTGTGGACAACTCTATGTGGGTGATTCGATCTTAGCTGTTAATAAACAAGATTTACGCGATACCAAACATCGAGATGCTGTTCAGATCTTATCATCTGTTGTATGTATATGAAACATCGATAATCTATTCTTCAAATGACTTTTTTTGTTCACTAGAAAGGAGATATTATATTAACTGTGGTTTTTGTTGCACCTGACGATAGTGATGACGAGGATTTACAGAACTGTGATGTTGATAATCATCTGAAATATAAATTTCTAACTGAAGAAATCGAACATCAACGTCGAATGGAACCAAATCATTCGTCATCAAGTGACATCGAAACGATTCATCGAATTAAAGATATGTCGTCATCAAACGGCAATGAAAGAAAACATGTCTTAGAACAGATCGATAGAGCGGATACAATTAGTATTGATAGCACTCAAAGGTAATTTATCATATCTTGATTTCATGTTGATTTGTCAACTTGAAACCTCGTTTAGGGATAGGCCATCTGTGATTGATCGATATCTGAAACAAACACGTCAATATTTACCAGTTAAACGAACGGACTCGAAAGAGTGAAGCCAGTTTTCTTTTAGGTATTAAATGAGGAACATTGATCTCATTCGGTTCTCTTTTATTTATTGTTATTGTATTTATCCTATTCATACAAATATAATTTTAACCGGGAGAAATCCGAGAAAAAAAAGCATGCAAAAGATTCTTTGACAAGCACTTAGGTACATAATATACATATCCAGATCTGCTCGAACAAACAATTCATGGATTATTAAAAATGTAATCACAAGATCAAGTCCAAAGAGACGCAAATAATCTTCAGATTTGTTTAAACATTTAGTCATAGACACTTCCTTGCAGTGCTTTTATCCACAAGGATAGAGATTCATCTATATCAGTCGAAGGATATATCGATGATTATGACTGATTTCAGTGTATATGCAAACGGCACGCAATAACACATCGACATGGCTGTCGTGAAATCAAACAAATGGTGTAAATTGCTGTTCTCTTTCTTTCTTCCAACACCTCTATGAGTTATTAGGATGACATCCAGGTGCGTGAAAACTTATATCTGTCAAGTCTTACGGAGAAAAATC